TTAACTAATAAGTGGTTCATTAAAAAGCTTCAATAAAGCGCATAATTATATTTCAGTTACTATGAATATATTTAACTTGGTTGTATCATAAAATTAGTTTGAAATGTACTTTTAATCGTACTTTTATTTTTATGTTAGAAAAAAAAATGCATTTTTATGCACCAGATGAATATTATTTAATATACTATAGACTTTGAAGAAGATATACTTATTACAAAATCCAAATAGTAATTTATTACGTTTAAAAATTAAATTAACATTTAAAAGTACTAATAGTATAAAGTATATATTGTATTTAATATTTGCATAGACATATAGTAAATGATTTTAAAATTCAATAATATATTTATCAATTTCAAGTATTTGGGTCTATAGAATCTAGATAAATATATTTAACAAATTTAAACTTCAAAGCATATTTTATCCGATACTCGGAACATGAGTACTTAATAATATTTCAAAATTAAAGTAATGAGTAGTTTGATTTTGACCTAAACTGCGATCATCAAGTGTAGTCTAATACTAATCAACATTTAACACAACACCAACCCAATGTATATAATACTATTATATTTTATTTTAACATTAAGCTTCAAAACTTGAATATTAAATTAGATGGTATAGGTTAAATGTTGATAATATCTATATAATTTTGCCTGAAAATATCGGTTAAAACTGTATAATTATATACTTATTACCTAAGTTAACACTCCGCTGTAAAATTAAATAATTGTAAAGAATTGTAGCTACTCTATTCACACAATTTGCATTTAATGTATTAAAATTTAGATACATAATTAATGAAATTGCATTTTTTTCTAACTTTGACGTAAAACATGTTTATCGTCCGAAACTATGTGATTGACATCCACTCATCACTAGGTTTATTTAAAACACAATTATATCATACAGAAGCTTGACGATATGTACGTACATAAATGTACATATGTACAATTTGTCAAGTTCTTTAGTTGAAAACTTGTTAATATAGTTTTTAGGCATTCTTGAAAATTACACATAAGCAAGTTTTGTACTTCCTATTATTATTAAAAACGCCTCGATTAATATAAATACATCAACTTATTGTGCTTATATAAAACAAATACCTTTATAAGTACTCTTTGATCAATAATTGTTTTAAATTGAATTTTTTAACGAAAATTACGATTACGAAGAATTTAAAAAATGCGCTCGGAACACTTCTTACTGAAATAGGTATCTTAACTCAGTGACTTAAGTATTGGTTGTGATAACTCACTAATACAATAACTCTCGAAATATGAAGAACACACATTAATCGTGGAATATTGTACAATCGCAAAGACATTAAATATTTCTTAGGACTTAGATTGTCAGTCCATAATTAACCGACTTTTTTTTTTTGAAAGATACTGGTTTATAGCGTCTGTGTTATTTATGTTTGACTGTAGTACAAATAAAGAGGGTCAAAACTATTTATATACAATTCACTGGTGTATAATGTAAATGCCGTTTTATGTGCATTAGCCAGGACGAATAAGTTTTGTATTAAAATGTCTTTGTACTGAATAGTAGATACCAATAACATCGAAATATTTGTTTTAAACTCTTTTTATTCCGTTAAAACAAACCTATTGATGATGTATTTTAAAATATCAAAAAATGCTGTATAGCTTATATTTTTCTGATTATTAAACCTAAATTGATTAATATTTTTAACTAAATAATTTAATTACTTACACAAAAAAAATAAAAATATGATATTACATAAAATACCCACATTTATACAAAGTTTCAAAATATTTGAATTTATTGTATCCACATCTTATTTAAATATTTTTATTTTTTTACAACTTTTATCAATTAATTATCATAATTAAGTACTAAAATTAACTTTTGACTTGTGTAGACCATGAAAAATAGTTTCACATCGATTTAATAAATAATTTTAACGGTTCTCACAGCAGAGTTCAACGGTTAAAATATTTTTAATTGGAGTAATTATTTCAATGTACTTTAAATTAGGTCAACATTTTAAAAATGTATCTTAAGTTAGAATTATTTATGAATAATGCAATCAACAAATTGAAAAATAACGTTGTGTCATTATTATGGTTTTCATATAGAAACAAAATCAAACTATTCCGTTACCTACCAACAGGAGTAATATAAAACGGACCTAACTACATGGACCGTTTGTACCGTTAGTAAGATTATTATGAATTCAACATTGATATCATCATAACTTATAAGTCACAATAACTAATTATGTCTTTGTACCTTTTACTTTTTCAAAAGTAAACGAATAAGTGCGTAGCGCGTGTAGCCTTAATTATTTTTTACAGTCGTATGAGTTAATATATATTATATTATGATCTAAAAATATTATAATGTTCCTTCTTCCCCTTTTACTAGTGAAACTTAAATTCAGGCGCTGTAATAATAATACACTAATTTAATTGCCAACACATTTTTAAAAACACGCTCAGTTCATCGTTCTTGAGACATAAGAAATACACGGAACTTATTGAATTTAAATTTTAATTAAACAAAAAATTCAGGGGCCTTCGCCCTCTATCATGGTAATCGAAAGAAAAAAATCCCAGAATAAATTAAGACATTTGGTAAAAAATTTCTATTTGTGTATATATTATAGTATATACTTCATTCAATGTTTTATAATATTAAAATTTGTCTTTCTTATGAGCGATATATTTATGTAGGATATACAAAACTTAATTTAATTTATTATAGAATTAATCATAATAATATAATATAGGAAATACAAAACAATATTATTGTTAAAGTTTAAAAATGATAATATAAAATATGTAGGTAAAAGTAAATTAATTTATATTCAATGTTTAATTCAATATTAAATGTAGCTTGGTTTTTTTCATTAAACAATAATACTTTAACACTTGATTTTTAATTTTTAATAATTATTGAACTTTTATAATATTTTAGTTTGTATAGGTATAAATTAATTATAAGTAATTTTTTATATTTAATAATATTAATATAATATTTTTGAATAATATTGTTATATTTTATTTAATGTTTTAAGTATATTTATTTAGTCACTTAATGGAAAATTCAGTACAAGTATATTGTACTCCGGAGATTATTTTCCTAGAGCCGAGAAATTGTTTACCTCTGAGAAAGAGAATATTAAAATACTACAGTTCATCTCTAATAGGTAGGAACCTTTTTAAATTGTCTTAAAGCTTATTAAATTATTTTATATTTTCATTTCGTCATGTAGGTATGTGGGTGGTAGTGAGGCTATACTGAATAGAAGTAACCATTTTTATCCGCCTACGTTTCTCGAAATAAATTATACGAAAACCGGCGTAAACAATGGTGATAAATTGTTCATACTATAAATAATACTTTACAGATTTAAAAGAAAAACGTACATAAAAATAATGTCACTATCACAACATTTTCGCAGTAAGCATTATTCATTATTTGACTCGAAGAAAAATCGCTGGAAGTATAAATGTTTAGATGTTTGGCAATGACGGAAGTAATAACAGAGCTACATTATCAAACAGTTAAGTACATGGAATTGGTTCAATTATTTTTCTCGATTAGAAAATTGCGAAGATCAACGTAGTACACCGTATTCTACTCACGTCCGTTTAAATCGTTTCCCGGCTAAATTAAATCGTACATTAACGAGGAGAACAATAACTGCAAATATATAAAGTGTCCCTCAACGGCCATTATTATTATAGATGTGACGACCGGATTAGAGCATAATATAAATAATTATAATATTTGCAAAATCAAATGTACGCAGCACAAGCACGTCCCATTTCCGTTATAACAACCAGACGATTTTTAAATTATTAGTAGTCGATTTCGATTAAATCAGAATTAATCGGATTGTCCTGCAAATTTTCAGCTGTCGAAAAACTGCGAGATTGAATATAACGTACGGCTGATAGTATAGTGCATAATGTATGATATTTTTAAACGGCGTCTCGTCCTACGGCTTCGGCGAAACGAGTATAAATAATAATATTATAATCGACGAATTCCATCCAAACACGCTATCGCGGACCAGAGACGTTTAATGTTGTCACTAGGTATAATCGTATACGATTGTGTCGTGATCGTTACCTGCGTGGACACCAGTTTCTAGTGTTACCGCCGAGAAACCGTATACATTTTATCGCACATAATACAATATTGAATTATATATAGCACGTGTTGTGAAACCCAAGACTCGTCACAAAAACATACGATCGGCGCACGCGAGTTGTAGACTAGTTACGATTATAATGTAGTATTATAGGCGTTGTTATCGTCGAATTTATGTTGGTCAAAGACGGATACGGGTTGTAAAATTTTTTATTCACCGCCGGTGGAAGCGGGTACTCGGAAGCAAATGACAACTGGTATAACACACAGAATAATATTATGATATTACGTGAGATCTAATTGTAAAGGTCGTATCTAAACAGTGTGCTGCAGTCTAGGCGTTTTGTCATCATCACCGCGGTGTACGCCGAGCAAAAATGACCCCGTTTGTATTCAAAACACTACCCCTCGAAACGCCCCACAATATCAACGATGACGACCCCAAAAAACACGAAAAATCTGCGAAATCACCACCGCTGCCGGCCGGCGACGCGCGGTTACCATGGAGACGGCGGCACGCGTACAATCGTATGCATCTACGGCCAGTGTACCGCCGTTCGCGCGGAACACCGCCGCGTAACCGTCACGTGGCCGACACGAGGGCAGCTGCCGTGGTCTCCGCGGGGGCGGTATATAATAGGGCTGCACGCGATCGATTGCGCGCGCCTCCCGGCTCTAAGACGACAAATTGCGACCGCCCGGGTCGTACCGACCCGATACAAGCTGCTCATCAGTCATCACGACGAAATTATAATATTTATACCATCACAATCATAATAATTATATCATATAATGAACACAAGTCGTAACAGTAAACGCAATACAATATAGTTGGACGTAAGACGCTACCGCAAGGTGATTATCACTCTCACCTCGTGTGACAGAGCGGCCGCAGGTTCAATCATTTTCTGACGATACCATCGTCGTCGTTGTCGTCGTTATCATCGCTCGCATGTGCACCGCTGTCGGCGTTGTGTCGTGTCAAGACGTCAAATAATAAACGACAACTCTTTGTCGGTCGGTCTGGTCACGCTCACGCGCCTGCCGTCTATCGCGATGCTGACGCCGCGGACCACGGTGACGGCACCGACATGACAGCGCGTGATTTTTTTACCGGACTTTGCGGGTTGTCTGGAGTCCGTGTTCGCAGATCTTCAGCGGTACTAGCAAGTGTACAATGGTGCAGCTTATTTATAATATAAACACACGCTTACACGCACACACACACACACATAAAAGCATGCAGGTAAACTGGGCAGTCGCGGCGGAGACGCGTTCACGTACGTTCGAACAGCAGGGCACGCGCGGTACGTCTGTCGGGCAAGCTTTCACCCGGCGGCGGTCGTAACTCCGGCGTTGTCGAGCTTGCGCCGGAGCGCCGCCTGGCGGTCGGTTCGGTCGTCCGCCGTCGACGCCGAGCGCTGCGACCGGCTGACGGACGACGACGACGACGACGACGTCGAGGTCAAGTTCAAGCTCGTGCCAAACCCGAAACCGTGTTATTACACCGCAACTCCTCCGCCGTCCACCACACCAGATCTTCGCCGCCGCACATACGTGATCCGATTGCGAAACGCGATTATGTAGAAACGATAAAATTTTTTTCGACACCGCCACCTCCACCTCCATAGCGCATTCCATTAATAATAATTTGTTGTGTTTGCTTTGATAATAATATGCGTAATATTATGTAAACGAGAGCTGGTATACGGCGGCGTCTGAAGATTGTAACCACAGTCTGCGTGCCTGCATTATCTTTGCGTATAGTGTGTTTCAGTTTAGAGGTACCTATCCGAATACTATAGGTAATAAATAATAATGCATATAATACCCCGTTCTTCGTCTCTCCGGTGTCGAAATGTCCTGATGGCTCCGCCATATAACTCATATTATGATATACACGAACATAATTGTATATTAACACATTTTGCGTCGTGAGTCAACTAAACGTTTTGTACGCTCTCCTCTCCAACGAAAAATAATAAAACCCTCTTTTTCAAATTGCTTTAATACATCTTAAGTTTTAATTTTAAAATTAAATTTTTTTTTTTTTTTAACTTCAGCAGATGTGAGCTTAGGTGACAAAAAAAATATATTTGAAAATGAAACTGTTATAATTAGAGCCCAGAACTCAATGCACTAATACGCTTATATTAATACAAATATGTTTTAAAAATATGCATTTATTCCTTTTCTACTCACATTTTTCAAAAATATAAATATTTTATTAAAAATTATTTTTATGTTTTAAAATTTTTAACCTATTTATTAATAAAAATTTAAAAATGTGTATCAATTAAAAATTTGATAAACATAATATAATTATATTTACTTAGTGAAAACCCTCAATATAAATATACATTATGAAGTTTTTTATTATTATTGTCAAGTTTTAAAATTGTGTTATTGACATATCATTAGTCATCAAATATACTCTAAGAAATTGCTAAATTAAAAATATGCTCTCAAAACTACAATATCATTAAATAAATAAAAATAAGCACTATGAATTTTGATATATTTTTCGTGGTATCAAGAAATTAATTTTAAGCTAAATTAGTAATAAATCTAATAATCGTCAAAAAAACTTGCAAATGCAAAAACTTTCGAACCCTAGTTATAACCAATTTTACTCTTTTCTAAATCAGATTTTAATCTGGTCTAAAATAAAAAAAAAATAATAATTATTGTTTTAATTTTGAAATTTATTTATCTAATCTATTGTAGCATATCATGTCTGTTTCTATCTATATTTTGCTAAACGTCGATATGGTATAAAAATAATAATTTTTTACTGTAATGTATTTTAATATTTGAGTTTGATTTCCCTTTTTCCTAGAAATTCTGTGCTAATCTATTATCGCTTCTAAAAAGGATAGGTACACAGTGTTAGTTATAATATGCTTTTAGCAAATGTACTTCGTATTTTTTTAAGACGACTATAGAATGATAACTACACAACTTATTTATAAATATTAATCTTTAAAATTAATATTTTAAACATATTTTTAATTTATCCCCTCTACGTTTGACCACCCCTGGCACATGCAAAATGTTCATGTTAAATACATATTTATAAGTAACAATTTTCGTTTAAAAACTAGGTGGTAAACAATTTCTTGAAGAAACGCCAAAAATATGTCAAAACTGTCTAGGGTTGATATCTGAAAAATGAAACTCTAAAATTAATATTCACTTCCTCTCAAAAGGTTTTTAACGTATTTATAAACTATATTATTTTTAACATGATAATTATAGTAGATAAATAATAATTATAGACTATAGTAATTTAATATTAATACATGTATAGATGCGGACAATATACTGTATAGGTATATCAAATATGATGTACAGTGGATCATCGAATAAGTTGGTAATAAGGGGGACACACTAGTTGCCTCCCGAAGTCAAAAAGGTCAATAATTTTTATACGAATTGCCTCCCGACGTACCCCAGACAGCAAATGTTTGTCTAAAAATACTATTATAATATTATTCTACATATTATTATACCTAAGACTGATATTTTTAACTACACTATATATTTTTAATAAGTAGTATAATATGTTTTATTTTTATTGATTATTTTTATATTATTTTTGTATTTATTGATTTATGAACCACTACTTAATTCTATATGGGAGGCAACTCGTTTATAATTATGAACTACCTGGTCATCGGAGGCAACTAGTGTAAATTAACCTTTTTATTTACGATAAGGATGGGAGGCAATTCGTATATTTTGGGAGGCAACTAGTATGCGCCGGTAATAAAAAACACTCGCAACATTAGCTTAATGAATCTACTGAAATTTTTTCTACTGAGAATTATTTTATGTCCATACATGGAGGATTTACTAATATTGAAACGTCACAGCTATGGCTGTTATCAATTATCAAGCATTAGAAAACACTAATTTAATTTAACTCTTCACTATATCAAGACTCAAGAACTTCCTTTCTCAATAAAATTACAAGTCATCAATTTTTCTTTAATAATATAAGCAGTTTATTTTAGTTTATTAATACATTCAATTTTAAATTTATTCAAATTATTTGTAATTTACTCTTATAACTTTAAAAAAATCAAATTTATTCTTGCAAAATTATTTTAAAGTCTAAATACATCTATGTCCCATTTGTTGGATATGATTTGTACAAGATGCATGTACCTATATTAGATATTAGTTTATTTACGTTTTTAATATTTTCTATGACATAAAGTTTACTGTATTATGCTATTTAATATTTATGAGTAGGTATTATGTATAGGTTATGCCTAAACAGTTTTAGATATAAATAGAACACCTTTGTAGCCCGTCCATTATATTATAGCATGGCTACAGACTAAATTATTTTATGTAGTCAATAGCTTAAAACTAAACCTTGAAGTATTTGCTAAAAAAAAAAAATTAGCTTAGGACGCTTAGGTACCAATACTAGGCGATTGTAAATTCCATCGATTTATAGGTAGTCGATTTTTGGGTTGAATTTAAAACTTGTAAATTCCACCGGTATATATTTTTGACCTGGAAACATGTTAACTCCATTGATAGTGAAATAAGTAACTACTAACTAGTGATTTTTCTTAGTTATTACATATTTTATTTTTTTTTAAATTTGTGTAAAAAATGATATAAGTATTTAAATTTTAAATATACCTATTACTTATGTATAAATAAGAAATCTGTACATAAATTATGTACCTATTATATATTGTAACTTATTATTATTATTATTGCTTACTATTGTTTTATTGTTATTGCGTGTTTAATAATTTTATATTATACATTCATACCTATACTTTAATACTAATAAAGTTAATTTATCACAAATGTAAAAGGGTAAATCCCAAATATCTAAATAAAAATAAAAATGTACCGGTGGAATTTAATTTTTTTCTTAAATAAAAAAATTGTACCGGTGGAATTTACATTTTTTTTCAAGTAAAAAAAAATAAACCGGTGGAATTTACACGAAAAAAGGACTAAAAAAGTCACAATCGGTAGAATTTACATAAGCCCCCTATACTTTATTATATTTGATTTAAAAAAATCAGAATATGCGAAGATTATTAATTATATATTTTTCCATTACTCGTGTTTACTGTAAATATTGTTTTGCTATTCTTTAAGTAATTACCTGAGCGACTGTAACTATCATTTAACTGGCTTTTACCCAAAATCCCAGATCTTTTTGGCATTAAGCTAAAAATTTTAAAGAAATGTAATATTATAGTAGTCTACTGAATTGTGTGTATTATAACAGCACTCGTACCAACCATCCATTATAGCTACCTTTAATTAGTATTTTAATAATTTCGCTTCTGTTTAATATTTAAAATTTAAATAATACAGGTACGAACCGCATTATAAATAAGATATTTACTCCACATTAATGATTCACTGATAATCTATTGGAAAAAAATTGTGCATTTATCATACCAAATTAAGAATAGTATGTTTTATACTTATAAAACTAATTAGGTAATTTGAACTACGTGGTATCTTTTCCGCGATGTAAAATTGAATTTTTCAAGGACAGATCCGGATAAAAAAGAGGATACTTCACACTGCAATTTATAATGAGCACTGCAAGATAATTAAAAACCTATTACTTAGGAATCTATTATTGTTATTAACTGTTATTGAATTTTAATTTTCATACTTCTGCAAACCTAAAATGTGTTGTGATTTTACGATTTGTTATTGATATTGTAATTATGTTTTCCTGAGTCATTTGTATTCATTTCTGGTTATATATTATAAAATAAATGATTTATTCTATATAACCATATAGGTACAATTTAGAATTCAAAATAAATTAAAATATTATTAATGTAATATAATAATAGTTACAGTATTATCTTAACTCTTAACTAATAATTGTTATTCTCGAATGGCACATTAGTACTTACATTATTAATGCTCTTGTAAAATATTGTGTGAGTATTTAAAATTGATTATTGAGCTATAATGATGAAAGCCAATAAAAAATGATGTTTCTATATAATTTCATACATCATTAAAATTAATAAAGTTTTTAAAGGCATTATTATGAAATAAATAGTGCGCTTTATAGGTATGTAAAATATATTTTATTCAAATAAACAACTATTACAACCTATTGTTAATAAATATACGAGTATGATATCCATATTTTATGTTTCTGATAGATACAATATATAAAATCGCTCTATAATGTACTCGTATTATGTTATATATAATCATCTGTAATAATCTAATACTCTAATAGTCAAATGCAATGCTTAAAATAGTCAATATTTAGTTAAATAGCCAATAGATTACAATATGTTAGATCAGTTAAAAAACATAGTTCAGTACAATAGTTGGAATTAAATAATATTATTGCATAAGTAATATAGATATGTGCATTGTACTGTAAGTAGGTATAATAGGTTAGGTTAAGCATACGCCCTGAAATAAAACGATTTACTGGATACCAAACTTAATAAAGGTCAATGGTTGACTAAATTAGGTACTTAATAATGTATAAGTATAAGATAATTAGATTTAATAGATTTATTAGTTTTTTTCTTTTTGCTTCTTAAATTATAACCATTTTGAATTTTTAAATATTTATACTAAAACAATAAGGATATGAACAGTTATTTTTAACGTATGCAAGTATTAATGACGTTTTTATGTTTATTTCCACAATTATCGAATTTCTGTTTTGATAATATGCTCTAATACAGATACATGACAAAATGTATTAAAACACTATAACTATTAATTTTAGTATTTTTTGTTTTTATATTTTTCATTTAAGTTACAATTTGATTATTTGCTAGAACAATTTTATAATTTGTTAATACTATTGTTAAAAAATATTCGTATGATGTTCATGAAACTCATCATATAATATACTAAATATTTTTTTTATTGTTTTATTATTATTGTTAATGCTATTACGGTAACTACTAACTAATAGGTATGATTATAATTTAAAAAAATAATAATAAATTTGAAATTGAAATTTGTTGGTATAGTTATCACTATTAATTGTATTTTTAATTCATAACTTTATTGTTTTATCTAGTGATTTGTGGTGTAAAATTTACTTGAACACAACCTGAAGTTTATAAGGGAAGTATTATTTATATATTATATACAGCATAAAAGTTTAAAATGGTATTGTTATGGCAATTAAATTAAATGAAATGAACTTATATTTTAATTATCTTTCACAAACTAATTAATTTTTTAAATTACCTATCACATAGATAAATGCCTACTATGGTTGCAAGTACTTAGGTACTAACTTCTTTTTATGACACTAGCGAGTAAAACAGTCTTATGCAATCTGTATACTTCTAACACTTTTATCCACCTTTATATCCCAGGGCATAATTTAATCGAAGTAAAAACATATAATTATAATTTATACTAGATATCTAATAAATGTAATCAACTTACTCGCCCACAGGCGTCAGGCGGCCACAGCCACCCGCATTGTTCAGTGCTCAGAAGTGACTACTGCAAAACAAGTCTCTTCAGGGTGTATTTAGTCTTTAAAATTATAAACTATAATTTATAGACTATATAGTTAATAACAACGTCGATTGTTAATTACTGTTTGTATTGTTTTATATAATAATTAGTGTCGTATATTGTCAATAATTGTAACTTTCTATTAGTATATATTTCATGACCAAGTGGTTTTATACTCGAGTGCGTAAGTGGATCATAGTATATGTATAGTTATTATAACTTATAATTATTATTTATTAGTTATTATATTGTAGATGAAAAAGTGTATCAAATAAATTTATAAATTCGTTACACGATATTATGTTTATTTTAGAGTATAACAATATTATGTACTTTTAATTTATTCTATAGTGAATCATATAATATGTCAATGTCTCAATGTCACAATTGTACAACAAAATAAATCGTTTAAACTATTTTCACCTCATAAAGATCAATGAATAATAATTGCAATGTCGTAATATCTTACTGAAAAATAATTTATAGCATGGTAATTTATATTTTTCTATATCGTATTTATTAGTAATTAGTTACCTAATTATTAAATTTGTAATTTTGGTTAGATTAATCACTAGTAAAATAATATTATAATAAATTATTATGTTTGATATAAGATTATAAACTTTATAACTTAATTAATATTAATTATATAACGATAATTTTTATAAGGCTTAATGTTATACGTCTATTGGCATCAATTTTATTCATTTACAATTTTATTATCAATAGAATATTTATAGTGCATATAAATAAATAATAATTATGTAGTTAATTATTTTTCTTTATTGATAAAAAAAACAATTCACAAAAATGTGCTGTCAAATTTAAATTTGCATAGTTATATATATCCATATGTAAATAATAAAAAATGTATATCAGGGAAATAAAATATAAATAATGTCGTATCGTTCTTTATAAAAACCATGGTTTACTATCGTCAAAAAATAAAACGAAAATCAGCAGGGATGGAACAAGAAGACGGATTTTTATATATGTATGGTAATTTTTTTTAACTTGTCTTAAAATACGAGTAAATAATCTGTACTTAGTGAAAAAAATACAATACAATAAATGTACTTGTAAAGTTAGTAAAGTTATAAGAAACATTACCAAAGCACGGGTCGCGGGCTTATAGGATCTCACTATGAATGTCGTGGACGAACACGTTCAGAAAGTTGTCGCAGAAACATTGATTGGTGAAATTTAATGTGGCTTAAATCTCGATTCCATAAACGACCGCAAACCATAATAAAACATATTATTAAATTATTCTATAGTTATCGTGTCTGTGGTGAGCTGGAATTTATATTTTTTTTTCCGGTCAGTTTTATAAAATGTCCATCCGTCTTAATCGCAAGTCGACTCTAGTGTTCAATTATCGATCGCATCGCTTTTTCGTTATTCATATTTGCGAGCATCTATAGTATTCACGTACTATTATTGAGGATTATATAGTATTGGACAGTAAGAAACTGAGGAAATTACAATAAAATATCTCTCTGGTTGCTCAAATATGACCGTCGAAATATAATTATATTTTATGCGTATTGATGAACGTGAAAATTGTCTAAAATATGTCAATATTTTAGATTCTAAACGGAGTGAGGTTAGGTTAGATTAGGGACAATGATCATATAAATTAGGTGAGTTTTATTTCTGATTTGTAGTCCATTGGTATTAAAATAAATATTGTATGGGTAGATATACTAGCATAGGTACTCGTTATTTAGAAATGTTGTCGTGTTCATTTGTCACAACAGTCAACAATACATATTATCAAATTTCAGTCATTTTAAATGATTTACCCATTAAATTCAATTCAAATATATCAGATCTAGTAGTGAACCTACATTCTCAATAACGAAGTACACACGAAACCTATTGTGTAACAGTGCGAGTAGCTTAAGGCGAGTTTCTTGATTTCTGAAATTGGTGTTTATAACTCTGTAGCTTATAGCTGTACTAAAACCGCTTGTATTATTAATTATTAAAATTATATTATGTTCATTTTGATTTATTTATACTGAAAAATGATATGAATAATAGGTAATTAAAAAAATATATATTTATTTAGATATACATATATTCCTTAACACTAAAATAATAGGGAGTACAATAATAGTTAATATAGGTACAGTTATTACAGATATAAATCATAATTATAGTTTATATTATAATAACAATTTAAAGATTACCAAAAAAATAATTAATTTATAAATAAAACGTAATTTAAGTTACCACCATTTTTTATTTATAAATTAAACATATTAGACAATTAATAACAGGGATTTGGAAAGGATAGGGAATTATTATACTAAAATTAAAAAGATATATATATATATATTATTTTTTTTTATCACAATCGTTTAAAAAAAAAAATAAAACAAAACAATAACATAGAAATTGGTGAACACTTTTCATCTCGACTCAGGGAACGTCGATACGAAAATTTTTCATCTCATTCATATGTTAACATTAGTTTGACAATAAAAATAGGTAATAATAAAGGGTAATAGGTAATAATAAAAATAGGTAATAATATAAATAATAATAATAATAATAATAATAATAATAATGATGATGATGTGTATTTATTATTTGAATAATGTTCTCGCATAATACCAAATGCGGAAAAAGTATTCACTCCTCTTCAATAATGCAGCGTTAGAGTAAGACGATATGTCAGCGTCCATGTTGTTTTCTCTGAGCCATGACGTAGTGGTTTCTGACGTTTGCGTTAGAGACGGTTTTGACTCCATGACCGATTCTTCAACGTCCGACTCGTAATAATCTGAGCAAATAACATATTAAATATTATTATTCCGTGGAATGAAATACCTTGCCTTATCTTGTCTATAATTAATATTAATCTCGCAAATTCCTGTTTTTAATGTTTAACGTATTTAAGATATCCGTATCAAAATGAATAGGTATTTTATGGTTATTTAGAAATTTCATCACAAACATTCATCATAATTTTAAAATTTTGTTGATTTAACTTAAGTGTCAACGAAGAAAAACTTTTTTTCCATAGGTAAGTATTTAGTTTAGTAGATAGAAATTCGATAGTTCGTAATTCATATCTTATAATATATAATGTGAGAACGAGAAGAAAATATTGAAAATAAATAATAATTTAGTATTTTTGAAACGTACATATTTATAAGTATAATCAATTAGTTTATCAATAAACACCATTGAATATCAGCATGTACATAATCCATAATACGAACAAGATTAATAAATTAATTTTATTTTTACCTGTTGGTTTTTGTACGGTGTACGGTTCTTCAGTTTCTAATGGCTCGCTGACGCCTACTTCGTTCTTGGCTAATATCCTAATGTGATACCTATGGTTTTCCTGCAATTCAAAAAAACACGATGTACATGGTTATTATAACCACCAATGCAGACTATAATTTATAAGTCAAAGCGCACAATTAAATCGGTATAACCACAGTTTTAAAGTAAGGGTTTTAAATGACCGTTTCCGTATAAAAATAAAAGAGCGCAATAATTAATTAATGACTCAAGTTTAATCAGTAAAATTAGTTATTAAAATGATAAATAATATAATACATATAAGATAATGTATTTCAATGTCTATTACTCATTGTTTTAAAATATTATTTTTTCAAAATGTTTTGAAATGTCAAAAAGTTATGAAAAAAATAAAAATATTTTCAAAAAAGTTTGTCTTACAAGATGATGGGTGTTTTTTATAAGAGTAAACACTTATATTGATCATTTTGTTTATAAATACACACATATACACACGCAAAAGTATGTAACAATAAATGTTTTGTGTTAATTAGGTATCTATTTCATAATAAGCAAAATCTCAATTACATATATTTTTATAGTTTATAACTTGATAATGGCCAGTTTTCCGAGAAAATTAATATACCTGTAAATCTTTGATATTGAATTTTTGTACGTCCATGTCCACCCGGCCAACTTCCATCCACATAGTTTTCTTCTCGTCCCGAATTGCTATGTTGTAACCTAGCAGTGGCGCACCACCGTCCGTTTCCGGTACACCCCATTCTACGACCACTGCGTTGGTACTTAGGTTTCGAACTTCAAGCGGAGCGGTTGGAGGTGAGGGTACAGCTAGAAATCGAGAAAAGGGTGATAAAGACGACGATGATTAATAATACTATATTAGTGGTCTCAATAACCATCATATGGCTTCTTATTAATATAATTATTGGTGTCGTTGCGTTTTAACGGATAATATTAGGATTCTATTATGTTATGAATGTTATGATATTTTTCTGCTCAAAAAACATAAACCACCACCATAGATCAACTTACTGGCATGAGTTAACAGACTGACTAATTTCGTTTCGACCGATTGACTAAGGCCGATGCAATTTTCCGCATAAATCTTAAAGTAGTATTCCGATTTTTCTTTCAAGTTTTCTACGCAATATTTCATTACAGTCGGTTCTAGTGTAGCTACTTTGAACCATTTATTCGTTGTGTTCAGTTGTTTTTCAATCACATAACCTGCAGAAGATATATTTATTATTTCATTATAGTTTTCGAGAAATACTTTAAAATTATTGCAAAAAGGATAAAAACAATAAAGAGTAAACGGTAAAGAAAAAAAATAATGAACAAATAATTATGAACAATATTTCAGTAAGAGTATACATCGTCACGTTTATGATATCGTAACTTATAAAAAGTGGTCAACTGGTTAACAACAATGTAATTGCATTAGGTGTTTTATTAAACCCTGCACAGTATACCAAAGATATTAAGGTATGTATTGTGTTAATTTAAATTTTATCTTCTTGGAACTTTTCGTAATTCGTACCTGTGATCTCAGATCCACCATTACTTTCTGGTAGTCCCCAATGCAACGTAACGGTTTTGCTGGTAATGTCACTCACAGTGAATTCCGTGGGCGGGGACGGCGAAGCTAAAAATCATCATATATTCAAAATTAATTTTCTTTTATTGATTTTAAGATAGTGATGTTAATATGTTTTGAATTTATGTGCACAATATAATGTTTATAAAATTAATCGTATGTAATTACTTATGGTACAACGTACATATTATACTAACTCATTTATACCTATATAATGTTAGGCATGTTATGTGTACATTACAGATACATTATACAGAGTGTCTAAAACGAGTTTTGAAACTTAATATTTATTTTATTGAATTTTTAAAGCATATGTGAACTTTATAGACATTCTGTATAATGGAATATTGAGAGGTTTCCATAACCAGTGTTGTTAATAAACCTCACAATTTCAATAAACATATATTAATTTAAATAAAATATAATTTATATGGGTTCATATCGGTTTAGTAATATGGTGTTCACTATCAGTTGGAAAAAAAAATCAAAAACAAATAATTAACCAACTGAAATTTAGCAGTTTAGTACTTTCATTACAGTCTAATAAAATCGTTGATACCGATTACTATAAATATACATTTAAGCAATTTATTGTAAAGATTAAAAATTATTGTGAATGTTATGAGCAGTTTATGTCTACTTTATAAAATAAAATTAACGAATGTGTTATAACTTATAGGATAATTGTTAAACATTTTTATTATTTACATTCATACGATTTGTTTTCACTGTTATAAAAATTAAATGAACTATATTGTAAATTTAAACGATTAAAATAATTGTTTGTTTTTAGACAGTAATATGATTATAGAATATAATTATTATAATTTATGCATTTTAGTAAGAAATTATATATATGAAGGTTACAGTTATAACTTATATATCCTATATCTTAACTTTGTATTAAGTAAAAATAAATCAAAAAAAAAATAAAAAAAATAATGACTTTTATTATAATGATTTAAATTAGTTAAAACGATCTACACGAAAAAAAAAAACAATATATATATATATTAAAAAATTAACGTTTATTTTTATGTGAAAAAAAATAAACTTGAAAATAATTATTAACATTTTATTTTAGATTCGGGAATTTAAATGTAATTAATTATATTTAATTATTAAAATAATGTTGTATTCATAATGTAATCGTATAGAACGTAAATACTCTTTACAATAGTAATGCGTTAAAGTAAAAAGTGAAATCTGTCTTTATCATGGACACAAACAACAAAATGATATAACTTTGGTTGACAAGACTTAAAAATAGCGGCCAAAGCGGAAAAAAAACTACTCACCGGAAGCTTTTGATTTCGTTGGGAATATTCCCATAAGTACGTATAGTGTTTCATCGGATATTCCATTTCTAAAGCCTATATAAGCAGATTAATAAAAGCAAAAAAGCATTAGCGTGTCTTCACGCTGTAAAACGGTCTACAGTCAGCACGTATTTTATGAAATTAATTTTTTCTCACTTATGCGCTTGCCGGCTACAATCGGATCGTCTGGTTGATATGGTTTCCCATAACCCACGTGATTTCTAGCGGTAATCCTGACGTGGTAGGACGATCCCTTCTTCAAGTCCGACACCTTTAAGTGTAAGTCTTTCGTGGAACTAATCTGAATATCAGAAAAACCGCGATCACATATTTGTGTTACGGATTTATTTATAATTTATTTTACATACCTTTCTCCAAGCTTTTTTGTCTACCTCCTTGATTTCCACACAATAGTCTTCGATTGCTATTCCACCATTATCGAAAGGTGGTAACCAAGCGATTGTCAAAGATGTATCTGTCACACCCGTGATCTGCAATGGACCCTGTGGTGCTGACGGTTTATCTGTGTCATTTAAATAAAAATATTAATATGATTTCGTCAATATAGTAATATTAGTTATATTATATGAAACGAGTTTTAAGCACAACTGTTTATAAATTTACGTATAAATATCTTATTGTTATTGTATTTTTTTATAAAAAAATATATAAATATGTTTTTTGATCATACTATTATCTATAATTATAATTTTATGTTTTCGGGTTAATTTAAAACATTAATATGAACCGCATCACAGTAATGTTATTTGTGAGTTATAAACGAAATTACTAAACGTTTATTCATTAAGATGTCTGACGTTCAATGTACTTACGATATCGACACTTAACAGTAACAGGTTCGCTGTCCAAAAAGTCTGATGCGCCAACAGCGTTTTGAGCACAAACTCTAAACATGTACTCGGCGTCTTCGTGTAATTTTTGAACGCTGTATGCTGATACATCTTGGTCTACGTCGGCTACTTTAGACCAAATCATTTTGCCCACGTTGCACCTTTCAATCTGGTATGATGATATGTCCAACCCACCGTCATCGGATGGTTTGTTCCATTCGATTGTCACAGAGTCCGAGTTGATTTCTTTGATGCGCATCGGGCCTTGTGGCGCGCTTGGTTTATCTGTACATGAAAATAAAACAGTATTTTAGAACAACCGTTAGATAAATGGAGGTTCAATTTTCGTTATTTTAATCGGGTGAGAATGTTAAGACACATGTAATTGGATTTTTCACAGACCCATTCCCTGCGAGTAAGGGAAAGAAAATAACAACAAAATAACGGGATTGAGCACAAGGGGAGCGAACAAAACATTACCGACCAGACTGAATTTTGTCTATCCCTTACCGTCTTTAGCCGGCTCTAAACACAATATTTCATGTTAATATTAAATTTTATCGATAGTCGTTAAGAAAAGTGGCTTACTTACCAATAACTTTGAGGTTCAGATTGCACGTAGCCGTGCCGGCAGCGTTTGATGCGGTTATCGTATACACACCAGTGTCGGGTCTTTCCACCGAGTAAATAGCTATTGTTGTTGACCATTCGTCGTCGTCGTCGTACACGCTTATGTGCTTATCAGCAACTGGTAATGGTAGACTGTTCTTTTGCCACGAAATTGTCGGCTTCGGATAACCCTTGTATGTAGCCTTAACTTTCCATTGATTTCGTACCCTAATCATTTGTGAAGTTTCCGATTCATGGACTTCAATTTTGGGTACGTCTTGTACGCTGAGTTTGCACGATGTTTGGGCAGTACCTGCTCCGTTGGTCGCTTGGCACGTGTAAGTGCCGGTTGTAGATTCGTTGCACTCGGTGATTGTCAACTTAGCTACGTGGTTTTCAAAGGACGTTGTCTTTGTTTTGTATATGGTTTTGTTCTTAAACCTTTAAATATAAATATTTTCATTGGATTGAAACCAATTGACAACTAATATTATGTTAATTAAATTATGCATTTTACAAATAAATTGAACAACAATTTTTTTTAATCAATAACGCAAAATAGTATATACCATTTAATATCCGGCGTTGGTTTCCCAGTAATGACACACTGAAGAACTACCGATTTACCCATTCCAATTGATAAGTCAGATAGGGGTTCCTGAATGACAGGTGGAGTAAATGACCCTGGACTTGCTATCTTAACATATTTTGTGTTGTGTGATGCAGGTCCTATTCCAGCGCAATTTATCGCTGCTACTTTAAACATAACTTCATGTCCAGTTACTAAATTTATAATTTCGTGCGTAGTATCTGTTACGTGTATTTTATGCCACCTGATAAATTATAATAAAAAAATAGATGTACAACTAAAGACATTAAAAAATATTACAATTTTGTTTACTTACACCATAAATTCATCTTTGTCATGATATTCAACAACGTAACCTTCAATTGGTGAATTTCCATCAAATTGTGGAGGTTTCCAATGAAGTGTGACAGAATTATCTGTAACTTCTATAACATCCGGAACTCCCGGTTCGCCAGGTACTTCTATAATATGTATAATAATTCATTATTGATCAGGTTTGTAAAAAATAAAAAAAAGGACACTAACTTATAACAATAATGTCCATATCTGCTGTGGTTTCACCGAAAATATTTTTTAATTTTAATGTTAAAATACCCGTGTCTACCTCTTCGATCTTCGTTATCGTTAAACTCGCTGATGATTCATTAATAGAATAGGATACCTAAATTGAAAATTTAATTAATGACTTTTGATTTAATTGAATAAAAAATGTTCATACTTTATTTGATTTTATTAGGACGTTTCCGTTGATAAACCATTCTACTGTCGGTAACGTTGTTGACTTAAATGTTACATTTACGTTTAGATCTTCCCCATTTTTCAAACGATATTCTTTTGGTAGGTTATTTATTTTGGGAGGTTCTTCTTTAACTGAAAATTATTTGTCATATTGAAATTTATGAAATTAATATAAAAATAAAAATCAAGAACTTCGTAGTGTACCTTCAACTTTTAATTTCGTTGATGTTTTTATGTTAACAGCTGTACAAATATATTCTGCTTCGTCATCAGTAGTAGGTTTTTTAATAACTAGAGTGTGGACGGCTCCTTCAGAAATTATTTCATATTTTTCAGATTCTTTGATCACTTTACCTGATCTAAATCGAAAGGTTTTACAATATTAGTATAAAATATGAATTAGTTAAAATGTTGACGTTCAAAATAAGTACCTTAGCCATTTTATTGGTATATCCGGTTTAGAAAGCTCGACTGTTAGTTTAATATCACTACCCTGAACGGCGAGGGTGATATCAGGTAATTTTTTCACAAAACTGGCTCTTGGTTCTAGAAAACAGAAATTATTAGTTTTGTTTTCAAGTTATCTGCATTATATAATACATAATATTATTTTATGATCTATGCTATACTAACTAAAAAGTGAAAAAAGTAAAATCTTACACCGAGAAATTGAATACAGAGATTTCGTGTGCAACTTTGTGTTCATAAAAGTAATATGTAAATACTAAATTTGTGAGTTTAATGACAATAAATCACATTCATGCATCGAACAGTTTTTTTTTACGTTTTAGTTAATTCTTAGGTGTTAATGTTTGTTTCGTTGTTTAAAATGTTTGTTTAAGCTATGAAAATATAGTATTATTGTATACTAGTACCTTCGACAGTCAATTTTGCTGTACAAGTTTGTTCATGAACTTGACATCCATAAACTCCAGTATCAGCTATTGTAGCTTTGACTATTTCTAATTTTTGTCGTTTGCCATCAATAGTTAATCTTATATTGTTATTAAAGTGTAATTCTTTGCCATCTTTTGTCCATTTAACTAAAGCATCACCTTTAGTTAATTCTATTTCAAATAACACTTGTTCACCAGTAGCCACTATTTGATCTTTTAGTTTTTTTATTATTTGTGGTGCAAGTTCTAAAAAATAGCGATTATAATTTAAATTAAGTATATACAATATGTAGTATAAAACTAACATAGAAGTATAAATAATATGTTATAGCATTAATATTAATTATTAAGTAATGTCGATTGTCAATACTATATGAACACTAGGTATGTTACATTCATATTTTTGACAAAGTTATTGACTATAAGTTAAATGTTTATTTTATTTAAGTAGATACTCTCATTTTAATTTGGTAGTTTTTGTTATTGCTTATTTTGAGAAAATATTTTCATATACCTGAAAGAATTTATAATACTAAATTTTTAAAAACCTATTTTTTTAATAAAATATTAATTGATTAGAGTAATTTTTTTTTTAATGGTTACCGTTATTTTAAATGTTATTATTATTATTAAAATGTTGATGAATATAAATTTATTGAATAGATACTGAATATCTTATAAATATTTTTAATTAATAAGAAAGATTTTTATTTAAATTTTAATATTTACTTAAAACTATAAATCATAATATATAAGCACAATTCTTTTAAAAAATTTTAAAATGCAGTAATGCACTTAGTATAGTCAGTTATAGTTTATTAATAGATATAAAATTCACAAATATATTATTAATTAAAATTTATAATAAGTGTTAAGACTTGGAAATATATTAAATACATAATTGAAAATAAAATTAGAGAGATTCAAGTAAATATTGGTAACTATTGTATAAAAAAAATGGAAATATATGTATTCTAGGGTCCATAATATAAATATTCACCAATAGTATTACACATTTATATATCATCTAGTAGACAAATATATTCTACATTATATAATTTAACTTTAGGTCAAGTTATAAAATGTACTTCATACAACTAATCGTATAATTTTTAATGCGAATTTAATAATCTATTTCAATGTTAAGATAATATATGAATGATAAATAAAAAATTAATCGTAAATGTCATGTAAATTTATTAAACGATTTCTAAATATAGGTACATAAAAAATCATGAAAAAAAAATCAAATTAAAAATAATTTGAATCATCTATAAAATAGATATAATTAGGATATAATTGCATCCCGTGCCAATTAATGACACAAAATATAGCGTGATTAACGAAGGGTCTGAACTTTTTCAGACTTATGTATATATTTGTGTTTAACTTACTAGAATAAAATTATATTTAATAGTATAATTAAATACAAATTTAATTATAGAATAAATACCTATAACATTTATTTCTGCTGTACATTCTTGTTCACCCAACGAACATGTATATTCGCCGTCATCGTGAACAGATATACTTCGAATAATTAGCTTACGTGTTTGACCTTCTTTTTCAAAGAATATTTTATTTTTCATACCGTCCGTAAGCATTTCACCATTCTGATAATGTTAAAAATATAGAAATGAATAATACTTAAAAATTATTTTATTTAAAACAATATATAGTTATATACATACCTTGTGCCAAGTAACATTCACAGTTTCTGAAGAAACTTCTACCTCCAATATTGCACAATCGTTCTCTTTTACTTCAACATCTTCAAGTTTCTTAATGAATTCTGCTTTCACGTCGTGAACCACTACTTTGCAGGAAGTAATCTGGTCTTTAACCAAACAAGTGTATTTTCCGGAATCGAGAATGCTTGATTTTTTGATAATTAACCGATGGAATCGTCCTTCTTGGTGCAATTCTCGGTGGTCCATACCGGTAAGGTCTTTGCCATTCAATTGCCATTTTGTGGAAACTGTATGGGATGTTTCACATTCCAAATAAATCGATTGTTTTTCATCAACTTCTATGTCTATTAATGGTCGCGTGAATTTCCTACAAATGTTATTAATAATTAATTTATAATATTATATAATTTTAAAAGTAAATTATCAAAGAGTATTTGTTTTTTTTCTTTATACTTACACTTGCGGTACATCAACCGACACCCTAGCACCATGGGTGGCGGTACCAAATGTGTTTGATGCAACACATTTATAATCACCGGCGTCTTCTTCACTATCAGCATTTACAATTTCTAAAACTATATTTTCGCCATCAAATACTTCTTTTTTCTTGGATGAAGCAAGTAATGGTTTATTGTTTCTGAACCAAGAAACTATTGGAACTGGATTCCCGGTTACTTTAGCAATCAATGTAATAGTTCCCTTTTCTTTGACGGTCTGTTCTTGGAAGCGTTCAATAAACAACGGCGCTTGTGGACCAGGAAGTTCTGTGAATTTATTTTAAATTGTTATTTACTTAAATATTATTTTATTCCAGGTATGTATGATGTGTAAGACGTGTTTAATATTTAACGTGTTTATTAATTTGATAATGTTATTTAACGTAAAAATAATAATTATTATACAAACTAAATAATTTTTAAATTCAAATTAAAAATGTTTTCAATTGATTAAGTTTGAGAATGTTATTTAAATGATACGAACACATATATATATATAACGTACCTTCAACTGCTAGGAAACACGTAGTTTGTGCATTACCAAGTTTGTTCGAAGCGATTACAGTGTATTTTGCGGAATCACGAGGAGTTGGGTTATCGATGGTTAATGAATGGACGCCATCTTTAGTCACAACAGTTTTTATATCTGTTATTTTTTTACTATTTTTTAGCCATTCTACCATAGGTTGTGGCTCTCCACTAATTTGAGTACTTAACACTGCAGTTTCTCCCTCATTTATAGTTATGTCATAAAGTGGTTCAAGTATTTGTGGTTTCTCTGGTAATCCAGTTTTAACTTTGAGCACTAAATCCATTTTAGCCTCACCCTCTCTATTTCTCGCTATTACAGTGTATATACCTTCTTGAGTTTTTTGGACGTCATTAATTTTAATGTTGCTCACGTAGAAGTGCATATCTGAGTATGTATTCACTTTTATGGAATCGGTGATTGAAATTTCTTTGCCATTATAATGCCAGAATATGTCTGGTTCTGGCACAGCTACTAGACGACATTCAATTGTAACATCCGAATGCTCTGATGTACACGTGGCTTTTGGTTTACGTGAAAATGTCGGGGGTATACCTTCTAGTATATCAGCTAATGATGATTCTCTAAAAATCACAAATACACTCATTAATAAAAATTTATATTATATATTATAATAAGATATTACGATTATATACCATGGTTTATTAAACAATATTAAATGATTACATTTTATTTTTGGACACCATATTTTAATCGCTAACATTTTAATAGTAACGGGCTGGGTTGTAGGTTTTATTTCTTAATAATTATACCTAGACATGCTCTTTCTGGAAAGACCTGTTACATCAGAGCCATGGTCTGATAATGGGGCTTCGACGGTTAATTCTGTAGTACTAGATGCAAATCCAGCTACGTTTTTAGCAACACAAGTAAATGTACCCGCATCTTCAGGAAAAACTTCTCTAATTATTAACGTTGCAACATTATCTTCATCATAGAATATCTAAAATTAAATAAATTGAATAAAACGTAAAATTGAATATTGATTTTAAAATTAACTTGTATTAAAACTTAAATTTTTACTAACTTGGAAATCTTGAGAAGGTTTAATTATTGCCGTTTGTCTGAACCATGTAATTTGTGGTCTAGGATTTCCTTCTACGTGACATTCAAACTGAACTGTACCACCATCTGGCACATGCTTGGGTTGAAGTTTTTCAACAAAACGAGGAGCTGAAGGTTTTTCATTTGAAGCATGTCCTTAAAATGTTTTATTAATCATTAATATAACATAAGAATTGTATTTGAAGTTTAAAAACTGTAAGTGAACACATAATTTTAATATATTTTGTAAATCCGTGATTCTTTATCATAAAGTATATTAAATTAATGATTTTAATATTAATACTTTATTTTTTATTTTTTAAATGTATTAATAATCTTAAGGGTAAGAAAATTTATCATGTATTTTGATATTTTTTAAATTTGTATGTGCTTCTAATGCTTCGATTTAATTTAAACCTATGCAGTGTATAATTAAAAATGGAAACAATAAATATAAATATCTCAGTATTCAACAAAAGTTCTAAAAATCAATAATATATTTTATTATATTTTATTGCATACTCTGGAAAATTGGCAGTCTATCAATCTTTTCATGTAATTTCTTTTGCACGTAACGCATGTAACTGGTTTCATCTCTTAGGAAAATAGAAGGAACCCAACCTTTTTCTTCCGTTAAATGTTTTTTAACAAACCACCATTCTTGATTATTGCTTTCTAAAATTAAAATTAAAATATTTATATTTGGTAAATATGTGTCTAAAAATAACTTACCTATAACATAAACTTTTTCTCCTTCGACTAAATCTAAAGCATCTTCATTTTCAGCAATGTATGTGCGGATTGCAAACATTATTTCACCATCATGATTATCTTCTTGTAAAATAGAATTATCTGAAACATTTCCATTTATATGTTTAAAATTAAATAAAAATAATAGTTAAATAAAAAATGTATAGCATATAAAGCAAAAGACATCTACAAACAATAGCATAAGCTATAAACACTGAGCAGAGATCATCTCGTACCCTTCAAAAAAATGTCTTTTTCTTGAACTATTTTCAACTCAGCTCCATCTGGATAAAATAAAATCTACTTTTAGTTTATGATCAAAATATAGTAAGGAGAAATTTAGAAATAAAGTTAGTTTATAAATACTTTAACCTACATACCTTGGCTGAAAGATTTTATTGATGGTTTTCGTTTAACTTTAAAATCTAACGACTCTTCTTCATAAATAGGTATATCCTGAAACTCTTTATTGGGATTTAAATCTATTTTAAACGATTCTTCAGTTCCTTCATCAACATTATAGGTCGACGAACTTCGTTTAGGTTTCACTTTAAACTCTACAGTTTCAGAAAACTCATTATTCGACATTAAAGGACTCTTGTGAGTTTTCATAACTGTATAAACTTCTTCAGGCTGATCTAGATCTGTTATATTTTCTAATTTTTCTTTTGGACGCTTAAGAATAAAAGAAGCTTCCTCGGGTGATTTTTCTTTAGTTTCCTTTTTAATTGAAGATTTTCGTTTTGGTTTCAATTTGACCTCAACTTC